TTTCTTTTGTACCTCTCTTTCAGATACTTTCGGTATGGCAATTTTCTTTCTGAATTGTTCTCGCAACTCACGTGTGCCGCCAACATATATCATACCACATTTGACTAGACAAATGGAAATGGTGTGAAAACAAGTGACTCACATGTAACAGAGATATTTGTTTCTCGTATTGCCTTACTGAATTCTGCCAGTGGATGAATGACAAACTTCATTCGATCGTTTGTCACAGTGGCTACGGAGAAATTAATTGCTAAGTCTATTGTAACCAAATATTCAAACATCCATACTTGCATCTTCGCCGGAGAGTATTTCCCGACGTTGGTTTACAACAATGTGTCCGGTCGTATACAGACTGCAAATTAGCTCCACGCTATCTGGTGCTGCAGCATCTGGTTTGTGCATCTGTTTCAGGACAAGAGGAAGTGATGCGCATAGCAAAGAACCTACGATTTGGTTTATCTTTGGACGTAGTTCATTACAAAATGTTCTCTTTTGTAGTAACATTTTATGCTTTAATTCTTCCAACTGATAGGTTGGAGAAAATGGTTCTACCGAAACTAATCTCAGTGTTAGCTGGTACAGATTGTTACCTGCGACATACACATTTCCATTCGGCAACTGTGCGTCCGAACCACTCAGGACATAGCCTCGCGTTGTCCGTGGGGAGGTAATTTTGATGCATGCTGTCGTGCTCCGAAGATTCACAAGGAAGGCTCCAAAAGTGATAGATCCATTGATCGAATCTACGGCAACCACAAATTGGAAGTTTGTGTTAGAGACATCGTAACTTATTCACACTAAGCTGGTGTTTGTCCTACTTACGAATTGTAAGCAATGCCACTTGCATAATAGAATTTGGTCTTTCTATGGTCTTAAGCGCTGCGAAAATAACACTTACTCTAGAGCAAGCAACACTACCCATAGCAACATTGCCTATATTTCGCACAAAATTGTCTCTTCGAATGCAGCTCGCACTATCTAAAGTTGGAATCCATCCAGAATGTGCACCACTGGTAAGTTGAAGCCGGTGCAATGCACTCTAATCGTACTCCGTTTATTACAACGAAGGCTGCGTGGTAAAATAAATGAGCCTGAAAGTCTCGAATAGTTAAGTGTAAATACACCCTATGCGATTGTTGAGGAAACCTTTGAATTATTGTAACTAATTTCGTACGAATCTAGTGAAGCGGTGAATATGGATAATGCGATTGACATGCTGGATCCTCCGTCGAAAAACCCACCTTTGTAGTGATTTGTAGACAGTCACTTTTAGGAGATGACCACTTGTTTTTATAATTTACAGAGCAATGCCAAACAAGTTAGGCGGCTCCTTGGCTCATTGCAAATAGCTGCTTCTACATGGTCAAGTGGATTGTGAAAACGCCATTGGACATATTCCTTGACCTATCGACTTTGTCTACCTTCGTGTAACATACCACACACGGTATCGTTTTCATATGATCAAATCATAACCTGTATGTGTGGGCTTAACAATAGATGCAGTCATGTTTGCAGTGTATACCAGATAAAAAACATAAGGGATAAACAGATATCCGGCTGAAAGTCAGCTAGTTTACTTGCCAGAAATAAAATTCAACTGCTCCAATGAAATTGTGTTTGCGTGAGATTTTATCAAATATGGACACGAAATCCGGCAAGGTCCAATATTCGGAAGCATTGCCGGGTAAACTTGTCCCCACATTTGATAAACTTGATTATGCATCGTCTAAAGTCAATAGCATGCAGTCCAGAGACGACTTCAATAAATTATTCTTGGTAGATCACGACTAGACATCGAACCAAATTACACAAGCCTACTCGAGTCAAAACGGTGAAAGCACAGCGGTCAATCCCTATGTGCAATATAATGTAGACTGTAAACCGCCGGATGCGTACGCTGAAATTGTCTAACTCGATCACGTCGATCACGTCCTTCTCAAGGGACCGCATCGGATTAATGAATGCAGACAAATCTGTGGAGCATCTATTAGTCAAAATAATTAAGTTTTCCAAATAGATCTAGAGAGAAAAAAACACTGATGAGAAGAAGTCATTTTAACTTGCGAGCGGAAAGTCAGTTCCATATACTCACTTATCAGACAGCAGTGTTCCTTCAAATCAAATACCAAGATCTAATAAAAATATTGTTATTCAGTATTTCCTGGCAAGGAAGATGATCTGCACGTTTGCATGTGTTCCATAATTCGGTCCCTTTAATAGCTACTTTTCACACCTGCTCATTGTCCACTCCCTGTTTTACGTACCGGCATATCAATGTATGATAGAATACGCATCATAAAGCCCTTGGATGTAAGTCCCATAATCTATACGTACCGAACACTCGAAATGTATGACTACCGATGTACTTTTGTACTCTGGACATGAAACCTGAGTTGCAACCATTTCATTAACAACCATGGTGGCACCTTGAATGTGAATCATCAAACAACCGAAAGACTTGTGCAACGACAAACAATAATGTCAACTATGGATTAAAGGGGATAGATCTTAAAATTATTATTCATTTTGTTCAAGCAGAAATATGAGTTTCTTATTTCCCTATATCCCCTAAATTATGCTTGTGTTCTTTGAAACGATTAATTATTGCACGTTTATATGATAGAAATCAGAAGAGAACTGTAAGTCCAAATGACCCCGACAATATCAATATCTACCAAAAAATTGACGAAGTTGATACGTAAGATAGGCAACCTTATCGGTTGAGTGAAGCTTCGGGTCATCTAGATACGCCTGTTCACATTCTCCTGCAAATCGGCATAGCATATTAAAACTTTTACTAACCATGTGTCTATGTCATATAATTTGAACCAGAAATAAGCATAAGAATAGTCTAAACCCACCTTCAAAGTAAAATACCTCTCCTGGATGAACCCAGATAAAATGATCCACGGCACCCATTGAACAAAGTAACACTGAGTCAGGAACCTGGGAGTTCACACCAATTTAGGGTAAAGCTGACCAATCAAAATAGGACAGGTTGAGAGCCCAGGAGCCGGGCATACTGTGGGCATCCAGTCAACCCCGAGGCGCCTAATTAACCAATCATCACTTAGCAAGCTCCGGTAAAACTGGGACTGTTGCATCACCAAGTAGATAATTTCATTCATGACAAATAAGGAAGAAAGTCATCCACCTGAATGATAGTAAAAATGAGTGATGGAAGGTACAGAAAATAATGTCAAATTATAGAGATTTCTATGGTGTGGCGTTTCGTGTTGCCCGCCATAAACATACCTCGACAAGCGTAAAGTTTTTCTGTTCCAACCCTATCACAGTTCAGATTTGCAGCCGCTTTGGGTGAACGCTGTTGTTGTGCAACACTGAGTAGTTTTAGTGCATTCAAATTACCCACTAACGAACCCAAGGGTAGTGCTCATATCGCCATCATCCACGTTGCTGGTTGTAACCAGTAGAAAGGTCTGCGGGATAAGGTTACATTTATCCCAGACCACCGAAGTGGAAATTAATTTATCACATGCCACATGAAACGTGTCGCTTACCGAGATCGGGCATCGCATATCTATGGCCTTGGCTCGCATTTTTTGCTAACTTCCAAGCCATATGTTTGCATATGACTCAACGATAATTCAGTGATTTTGTTAGTCACTGGTTGCCGGACAGTTCATTAATGAAATGGGCACCAACAAGACAGAGATAGATGGCTGGGAGGTCACATGAAAACCCACTAACTGGAGACTTTGTTCACTCTCCGCTCGGCTGCTCCTGAGACTCCAGATATTCTCCACTAATTTAGACTTACGCTTAGTGGAAGTTCAGGGTGTACGCTAACACTACTAATCTTGTACAATGAAAAATGATTTATCACGGGATAAAAGCAAGTGCTTGACACGTCCCGTAGGATGTTTGGGGTGACGATGATGAAATCAAAATATATCTGGGTCATCTAAAGAATGTCTGCCTAGATTTGATAAATTACATCAGTGTGAAATTGAAAAAAATCGAGCGTAAACGTTCAGAAAGACACTGGGGTGCAGTGCTCGTTGATGTAAGGCGTGAGAAGAGTAAAAATGTTCGCTCACTTTGATCCATTTGATACATATATTCTTTTGAGTAGCATGCTTGGCGTTATCCAAAATAGAGGAATTTAGGTAACAAAATGCGGGGAGCTAAGATCAACATCTAACCGTTTTTTGAATACATCCAATGTAGGATAGGATACAACTGAGTCTGGGAGTGTGTTCCAGGGTTGACAAACCCGAAGGGAAAAGTAATTCCGTCGACACTCTGGACGGGTATATTGTTCCTTCAGTTATAAGCAGTTACACTGAGCTGCGTGTTGTGGCTAAGTTTAAGCAAATGGCGGCATACGTGGTTGGGGTCACTCAATATCTGATTCGCTAATATGAGATCATTGCGCAGCCTTCGATAGGATCCGCTGAAAATTCCCAGCAACTTCAGCATTCGGTGGTAAGAGTGATAGCGCTGGCCCATCACGTTCTTTGTTGCTCTTCGTTGTGGTGTCTCTAACGCCTCTAGGTCGCGCTTCAACCAAGTTTGTCAAGCTTGGATTGCGTATTCAACCTGTGGGCACACGTAGGATTTGTGCATCATTGAGAAGATTGATACGTGATATTTCCCGAATGCACTTCGCAGCATGCCAACGCGCTTGTTGCCTCATTTTGCAGCTACCTCAGCCTGTTTTGAACAGTTGAGGTCGCTCTGTGCGATCACACCGAGATCACGTTCCTGGGAGCTCGTCTGTAATCCGTTTGTCCCAAGGAAATAAGTGTAGTTATGTCTATGGCGCAATTGTACAACGCGGCGTTTGCCTACGTTTAAGGGTAGGGGGATTTGAACTGACCAGTTCAACACCGTGTTAAGATCGCACTGGAGCCGTTAGTGTTCGTCCGGCCCTCCGGTCATTCTCCATATCTAGATATCATCAGCGAAATAAATGGAAACCGAAGCAACTGATCTTATGTTTAAGTGTAATCCGCGTGAGCACTGTACGTGTCTTCGGGTAGAAAGAATCACGGGCAGTTGCCGCGGATGAAGATGTGACGAGCCACCAATAACAGTACCATACTGCTTCCCATCCTGAGAGTAACGCAGGAATATCCAGATGATAGACTTTTTTTACGCACAATTTTATACAATTCTATGTTATCCAGTATGTGTTTGATTGGTAGAACAGCAGTGAATTCCAGTAAGTTATAAATGATAACTCTGATAACCATGGAAGAATCGAGAAAACAGGTGCATTTACCCCACTCATATATTAAACCACACTAACAGTAGTCAAATCTACCGCTAGTAATTAGAAGGCAAGCATCTTATCAGACAGCGCTGAAGCAACTGCATCTACTTTGTTTCCTGTGATTTCTTTGTCTCATCATCCTTTGAGTCGTTAAGTCTATCAGCTGGGTTGCCGGTACATTTGTTCCGCATTCTCATTAGTCAAACGAGTGAATGTACACGTGACGCAACGTCGTCTTGAGCAGAATCAAATATACCATAAAATTGCGCCTCATCAGTGTCTGCTGGTGAGCAGCACTATCAGGTGACAGGAAATAGCGCATGGTTTTGTTGCTTCTGCACCAACAATCGCTCCTTTAGCACGCGATGACACTAGCTACTAGCTTATTACCTTATCTGTAATGCATTTACTTCCGGTCTTGGCAGTGTCCTCACAATTTTCCAGTCTTTCTGCATCTCAGTCTATGAAATTAAGTAACCCTAACTCAGCATTATTCTGTGTAGAGACAAAAAACGCTGTTGGTAACAGCTTCAGTATTCGGATTCGTTTTTACCTCAGCATTAGACACAACGACGGACGCCATCGGTTAGTCGACTGCACATCTGCACATTTGAATTCATCAGATTAATGTCAATGAGAGATGATTTCATTCGGCGTGAACATTTTACCTGAATTCGGGGAAAACCTCTGTGCTTCTTAAGCCAAATTTCGAAGTTCAGCTAGAATCCATTTTCTCCCCATTCTCATTTTTCACCTAATCTACACAATGCCCTTTCCTGAAGTGGCAATGTCACTGCGGTATGCGGAAAGTGCAATGCTAATCGTCCATAATGCAAGCATATAGTGAGCAGCCAAACGAAATATTCTAGTAGATAATCCCAAAATTTTGTCCACACTCAGTTGCATACCGTTCAACACTTCAGAATGTAAGGAGATTTTCTATACGCGGTTTGTAAGAACTTGGCGCTAGCAAATCCTAACGCAATGTCCGCAACATTCCAACGATGTTGCAAGTTTGAAGGTATCCACTTCAATAAACATCATTGAGTGACACCCACAGTTGATGTGCTCGGTCCATTCAGGTGAAGGCTAATGGTACTGAAGTTAAGGATCTCTCGTTTAATATTACGCGTTTCATGTCTTCTTCATGATACCGATATTTCCTCCTTAATATATCGATGCATATGTTGCAGTTTACCGGACATATTGCTATCTCGTGGCGTTTCTTGTTCTCTTGGGTAAGAACTTCGCACAAATAACCAACTAAGTGAATCATCCTTTCCGGTGTAGTGGAATGTCATGTACTTAGCTTACTAACATCAATTTATCTCGCGATCCTAACTCATGTTACAAGCTGTTCTCTAAAATACCGATAAAATTATTGCGTTCTGCATGATCTTCGCCGAATCGATGCAGCAGGTGAAACACTGCACCGGTGATTTTCGAACTTGATGTTGTCGGATTAGATTTAGATTTCCCAGTCCCTGCCGTTTTGATTACTTTCCGAAAACCCACCAGCCCAACCAACAGGACCATAAAATTTGAATAACATCGGGGAATACATAGAGTTTGCAGTGTTTGTTAAGGTCGAAAACATCGTGCAAATTGTGACCTGTCAACCAGCGGAATTACTGAGTAGCATTTCAACTGCCTGATGCCGATGAGGGTGGGACGGTAATATACAAGACTGTAAATTGTCAGTTATACCGAAGAAGTGCGCTTTTGATAGAAAATTCAAGTGTGCCACCCGATCGAATGCGTTACGAATGTCAGAGGTCTGGTGTTTACCGCGGTCAATGGAATTAGCAACAAGGTGTAGAAATTGTTTTTGACGAGTTATACATGACAACGTTCTTAGAATTATATTCTGTGAAATGTCGATGAAATTCCAATACGAGAGGGGTTCGTCGATTTTTATTTCATTTTCCTTTCCATCGGTTGGCACGGAATGGAGATATATCTGATGGTTTCCTAAATCGTATGTATTTGACGCAAAATACTTTTAAGTCCTTCGGCAACCACTGCAAATTGCCACACGTCCAGACTATCCTAAGGCCTCATGTTTAACGCAAATATATTTAGCAGAATTATGCGGATATCACGGCCTCTGAGTTTGAGCACAGATGGCGGCATTCTTTCTATGCAATAATAATATATCGATCTGGTTTTCTGAGCAAACTGTCACTTTGGTTGCGTAAATTCAACCGAAAAATGGAAGCAATAGTTTATACAGGTAGCCCATCATCGGCAACAATCACGGCTGCGTAAACTGAGACAAGTTACCATGCAAACTTTAACATCTGAACGCTACCAATGAATACCACGTTTTAACTCAAAATTTGGCGTGCCATACTGATCGAGCTATTTATCTGAAATAACGTAGAAAGCAGTGTTTGATATAACAATTAAAACGAAGTGACTGTTGTCAAGTTTTCTCGGAAGCAAGATATTTTGGATCGATTAAAGTGGTACTGGCGAAACGTCTTTGACGCTTGCTGGTAATGTTTCCGGTTGTTTACACTTTTAATACCGTTTTGCACCCAGTGTTTTCCTTTCTTATTGCAGTCGCTTTACTATTGTATCCGTGTTATAATTATGTTCTGTTTTCTAAGTGAATATGGCTGTCTCGCTAAACACCGAGTCGGTTGGATTCCTGGGGACCTCGTTCGATGAGTCTAGT